AAGCATTGCTATAAAACGTTTTGATATTCTAGCAATCATTGTGATTTTCCAACAAAATTATTTTGATTATTAAACAAAAATTATTTTTAGATCTGAATCCAGCAAAATTGTTTTTTCCGTGTAGGTTTATTGTATATATTAAACTATCTTTAGTAAAAATTTGATAAAAATGTTATGTTTAAGATCGAATTGTTTTCAGGACTTTCTGTTGCAAAGATAAGGATGAGGCTCTTTATTTGTTTATAAATTTAATGTATACATAATAAACGTTTTTCGTTGAAAAGCAAGTTACTTTCTCCAGGAGTATACAGGGTGTTCAAAAAAGGTCGGGACGGCGAATTATCTAGGAATATAGTTTTAAAGATTGGAAAGAAAATCGGTTTTTTTTATTTTTCCGCAGATTTTTTCGGTTCCTTTCTCAAGGGATAGAAAAATTCAATGGAAAATTTTATATATTCGATATAATATATTCGAAAAATCTTTTACATTTGCAACACTTTGAAACATTTTTCAAAATTTTAAAATTTTACAACAAGCATATATTTATTGCTAATAATGTTAAATATAAAAAAAAATAAAAAATTAATTACACAAGAATAATAAATAAAAAACAGAATTAATGTATTTTTCAAATAAAACGTATGGCTCTTGACAATTATTAATAATCAAAACTCTTTAGAAATACTTAATATAAACATTAATTTAAATTAATCTTTACACTAAATTCTCACCTCAAGGAATATATGTAGTATAGAAATATAGTATTCAAATGTAAACATAAAAATTAACTCTCACTATTAATTCGTTTATTCGAGGTGTCTTATTTTAATAATACTATAAAATACGAGAACGAGTTATAACTTGTAAGCTTATATCTAATTTAAACAAAAAATTTACACATTTTAACGAGCAAATTAAAATAAATCACATAAAGTCACTTACATTATTTTCTGAATCTCAATTAATATTTAATATGATAAAAAATATTAAAAATTAGGTAGTATATTGTTGACATAGCAATTTTTTGTAAAAAAACCAATTTTTCGGAAAAAACCGAAATTTTTCTGGTTTTTTTTCCAGCAATTTAAAAAAAGCAGTTTTTTAAAACTATATCTATAGGAAGGAAGACGGTTTAAAAAAATGTTTCAAACGAAAGTTGTAAGGGGCTTAAAAAAATCTATTTATTGGTCTTATTAGCTTGATCTTAAACGGCGTTGCCAAGGTCAGGTAGGTCACATTAATTTTTTTAAATAAAACACCCTATTTTTTATTCCAAAATGTAATAGTTAGTATCAAGAGCTTTCTAAAATACTTAGATAAAATATTTTTTGATTAAGTAAATCTCCAGTTATGAAGCTTAAAAACTGTAGTATTGCCGACATTAGCATTATCCAAGATGCCTGAACAATAGCTAAAACCTTTTGAACGTTGTGCTTAATTATAATTAAACTTTCGAAGTAGTTGTATCAAACGATCGTATAGTAGAGTTTTTACATCGATGGCGTATAAAAAATCCAAATGGTTGAATAATTTATATGATATTTCCTCCAGTACGATAACATTTGGTAGGTGCCTATATGTTTCGAGAACACTCTGGGAATAAAATATAAAAGATAATAAAATTAGTAATAATAATAAAAAGATATAAGCAATTATTTCTACAAGACTGTTCTCATGTATGTACATATATAGGGTCCGTCACTAAATCCGGACAAATTTAAGGGTGTTTATAATACGTACAATAGTAGCAAAAAGTTAAATTCGTTGCAAATTAAAGTCCTTATAACTTTGGATTACTTCAGTGAATCGACTCCGGCTTTTGTCATAAATCTCCGAACGTATATAAGAATAATCTGTAAAATTTTTATTAAATTTCTAATATTTTAAAAACAGGTGCTAAACATCCTTAAATTTGAATTTCCCGTCTTATTTGACTTCGTTGGTAAGTCGTTGACGTTTGGGCAAGTCAAATGTTTGTAATAAGCGTGCATGACTTCAAAATGTCGGAGCAGATAAGATCGAGTGCGGAGTATAACCGAAGAGCGGCAATAATCAAAAGCCTTCACGTTGGGCGTTCACAGGCCAAAATTATTCAATTCTTCGGATGCCCGAAATCAACCATGCATGATGATGTGACTAAATAGTAAATATTTATTTGGCTTTAAAGATCGAATAGAACTTGAAGACATCCCCATGATAGCTAGGATAAAATTTCAAGTTTTGAAAGAAATGTGGCGGCATGATGTAACTCTCACTAAAGACGACGCTTAGGACGTGAACAAAGGTCTTCGTCCTAGCTATTATAGAGACATCTTTGCATCCTTTTTTGGACGTTTCTGAAGCCAAATATTTAGCTGCAATATCATGATCGATCTCGGGTATTCGAAGAATCGAATAATTTTGGTCTGTGAACGTCCAGCGTGAAGGCTTTCGATTCTTGCCGCTCTTCAGTTATACTCCGCATCCGATCTTATCTACCCCGACATTTTGAAGTTATACACGTATACTTAATTACAAACATCTGATTTGCCCAAACGTCAACAACGACCTATACCGACGAAGTCAAATGAGACGGGAAATTCAAATTTAAATTTGTCCAGATTTTGGTGGCGGACCCTGTATATAAATAATAATATAGGCAGATGAAATGAGAGAAGAGATAGAAGAGAAGAAAGAAAGAAAAGAGGACAACGGGAAAAATTGAGAAGGAGAGAAGAAATATATTTTGTATAATATTATGAAATGAAAATCATACAGCTTTATTTAAAAACACAAGGTAATTTTAAATTATTTACAAAAAATATTATCGAATTTTTATCTAAATTAATTGAAGCTTGCATGAAACAAATAAAATATTTTTCTTACAAATGTACTATATGTAGAGTATACAATATACATATAGTATATTTAGTTTACTTAATAACTTAAACTTTTATTTCTTTTTATAATATATAATTTTTAATAAAGAGATGTTTTTATATAAAAATTCTCAAAGTGATCTTACCGGTTTTGAAGTAAAAAAATCATTTCCGCTGTAAAATAAAGCCAAGGGTGTAGTAATTTTTTTTAAGTCGTACGTTATAGGTCTTATCTGTCCATATTGTTTGTAATTGTCTAAATATCCATAGTCGTAAGCTTGAAATTTTTCTATAGCAATTAATATTAATTAATTTTACATAAATATATTTAAATTAAAGAATACTTACAAATTTTAACTTTCATAATAAGTTTAGATAAACATAAAATATCACGTGATTATTAGCAATGTGCTTTATAAAGGAATTACTACTAGATTATTTCATACATTATTAATAAGGATAGTAAAAAAAGAAAAAGTAAAAACTAATAATATTAATAAATAATTTTGAGATACGCTTTAATAAACATTTTTTACAATTAATAATTTATATCGTTATTGGAATAGAATATTCACCTGTAATAAGATTTTGGTAATAATGATGAAGCGTTTGCATGGAACATCCGCTCGGAAAATACGAAAGTATTTCCGGTAATAATGTCTGCAATGAATGGTTTTATTAAAAACAATTTTGATTTGTTGTATATTGAAATATAGAATATATAAAAAAATTTACAAAATAAATATATTATATTATTTTATAATTTTTTGTACTTAAAAGATATAAAAACAGTGTTACAATTAACAAAATCGTGCTACATATTAGATTTGTAAAATGTACAGCATTGAATTGTGCTGAATTGAATCCGCTGATTAAAGATATTATCGCAACGCAGAGAGCCTGAGTAATTGTCTTATCTGCACACAGTGTTCTTCCCATTTTTATTATCCTTGACGATGTGGAATATAATTCATATATTTTATTGAAATCGAAAAATTCCTAATAAACAAATATAAACGGAAATAAAAAAGATATACACAAAAGAATTGCAATAAAATCTTATGATATTATGTTACTTTATACGATCGATATAAATATAATAAAAAATTAAAATATTAAAATGATTGTATAAATGTGTCAGCTATAATAAAATGTACAATCGATAACAAAATAAAAACATAAAATCAATACGCAGTTATTATAAAGCACAACCTATAATAAAACAGATGCACAAGAAATAATTTATTTACATGATCAATGTGTTCACATTTTATTCAAGATTTTAATCTAAATTGAAATTCTTTTTAATAATTAATCAATCATATCTGTAATATTTAAAATTTTATACGAGATATAAAAAAATTTGATATAACTACATAAAATCTCATAAAAAAATAATATTTCTCTATCAATTATTTATTTAGTAGTATGCATATAAGTTCATTATAAATTGTTATTAATACATATATTAATAATAAATAAAATATTATAGTAATGTAATGCTGCTAATACAACTTATTAGAGTAATATTAATATAAAATTTGTATCTAAAATATATTTTTCTTTATTTCTCTTAAAATGCAATTTTCATATTTCCTTACCTTAATATCTTCATTACCAATATATTTAAATACATTTAAAGGATACGGTTCTTTCCAAATGGCGATTGGAGCAAGGCAGATTCCCAATTCTATTTTTGCATTGTATTCGGGCTTCATGGATAATAAAATAAAAAACATAGTCGTTCCCATCGAGTGACCAATATAGCGTAGAGTTTTTTGTTTTGTGTAATTAAGTACATAATCGATCATAGCTGGTAGGTCTCTAGTCCCCATTTCGTGATAACTAGACAATAAAAGTATATTTTATTTCCCTTTTATTAGCGTCCCTTTTTAGTGCTGCAGAAACACTAAATGATTGTTAATTTTAACACAAGTTAATTTTAACACTTTTTAACACAAGTTTTCAGTAACAATTTTTTTAATTCATTTAAGGCGATCCTAAAGTCTGTTTTATCAACCAAACGTGATTATTTTCCAAAATAAAATAAACATAATTAAATAATTGTTTACGTCAGGGGTTACGTGAGAGGTTATGATAGTTGTATGTACAAGAAAAAAAGGTAATTTTTTCATATTTTTTCGTTTTTACTACAAATATATAATTCGCGCGTTTACATTTTATCCCTATTTCAATCTTGTAGAAGCGTTTTCAAATCCGTTCAGAGTTTCAGAGTTATTACTTAGAATGCAAATAATGTCGGTATTCCAACACGCCTTAAGAAAAAATCGATTTTAATTTGAAATTTTAGTTGAAAACTAGTTTTTGAATTAAATGAAATAGAAAAAAATAAAATAGTAAGATTAATGTATATGTATTATAAGTTATGAAAAATAACGAAATGTCGAATTAAAAAATATTTCTTTCAATTGCACTTGTAATATAAAGTTTTACCTAAATTGCCAAAAATCCTTATTTTGTGAAGATATTTTTACATGTGATTTGCAATAAGAACTTCCTCTGTAATTTCCAAGCCATACATCATATCCTTGATCAACTAATAAAAATGCTATAAAACAGGATAATTATATGTAATTAACTTTTTTCTCATTATATTATCGAATTAACTACTAAGGTAATTCCACTCAATAAGTTACAGCTACAAGTAAGTTAATATTTTATCAAATATTATTATAATTATGTGATAATTGCATCATGTTTATCTCTCAATGTAGGAACTGAATCGTTCCATGCTCTGCAAAAAAATTCATATAAATCTAGAATAAACAAAAAAAATATAAAAATAATTCGCTCAAAGTTATATTACTGCCAAAATAATAAAGATAACAAAATAATTCTAAATATAATTAAGAGGATGCTAAAGCCGTCTGTTTTATCGACAAAAATACCATTTTTGTTGAATACAAAATACTTCGTATTAATCGCATAGAATAAAATTTCCTTTTCCACGATTAAAACACACATGCTAATGCATCTGGCTCTGGTGTATTTTGTACCAAAAACAGGAAAAAATTAAGAAATT